TGAGAAATATGAAAGAAATGGTAGAGTTGGAAAATCACCAACAGTAAAGACAGGAATTGTCTACCTTCGGACAACAATCATCAGTGCATGTTAAACCTGGGAGGAAGAGCTTAGCATGCATAGGTGAGGACAGAGATATTGTCAGAGTTGTTTGAGAAGCAGGATATGTGCATATCTTAAAGGGCCTTCCTACTGAGCAAGTATTAATCACAAGGGGGAAAACAGTGACCAAACAGCAGTGGAGCCAGACAGTCCTCAACCAGCTAGTCAAAGTTCCTACCACCAGCAAGGAGCAGGTGTACCCTGAGAAAGACACAGCATCACCTGTGTAGCATCCCAGTCAAGAGTGCGTGAGCTGAATCAATCACGAGGGAGCATCAGGCATGCACGAATTGAGGAGGCTTCTACAATCCTTCAGAAATATCATTGCCACGAATGACCGAGACGGGCTGAGGAACTGTTCTGAGTTAACAGAGATTAAAAAGACGTGAAGACAACGCAATGTGGGATCCCAGACTGGCTCCTGTGCAGAAGAGAGGAAAAAATGATGCCATCACGGACTTACTGAGACGACCGACAAGATTGGAAATGGACGACAGATTAGATCAAAGTATTTTCATTGTATCAGTGTTACCTTTCCTCAATTTGGTGACAGCAAAGTGGAAATAATACAGAATGAAATATTAAGGGGCATGGGCCGTGACTCGTGCACTCCACTCTCCTGTGGTTCAGGACCAAAATAGGGTGTCTTACAGAGAATGATAAAGCACATTTGACAAAATAGTAAAAATTGGTGGATTTGCGTAAAGAATATATGGGGGTTCTCTGTACTATTCTTTGAGCTTTTCTACAAGTTCAAAATTATTTCAAAATAAAAAGTTAAAAAATGTGCATGGACTGCGTGTTTACAAATTATGCCATTATGTGGATGGATAGGTGAGGAGAGAAAGCAAATGTAGCAACATGTTAGCTTTTGTAGAATCCAAGTAGTGAGTAAATGGGTGTTTGTTGTGTAATTCTTTCAGTTATCTTTATGTTTGAGCATTTTCATGTTGGAAAAATGTTGAAAAAACCCCTATCTTTCTTTCATAATAAAATCACAGTTTGTATATATCCTTAAATATTAAAACAATTTCTTGTTTTAAAGGGATTAGTTGCTTTATATTTCAGAAATTGTTTTTTAACCGGATGATATGGCAGTATCTTATAATGCTCTGCCTTGGAGCCTTGTTTATTGTGAATTTTTAAAGCCCTTTATTAGTCTTTTGCTTGACTGACCTATTAAGCTGCCTGGTTATGAAATGGACTTGTACGTCTTACTTAATGTTCTTTGTTATTAGAATGTGAGAGATTTGCTTTGGAAATGATTTAAACAGCAATTTGTTTCTATAAAGTGTTTGTCAGTAAGTTTTCTCGCTAGCAGCCAGAGGCAGGGAGTTATATTTTTTTTAGAAATAGCACATCCTTGGTTCTCCTGGCCCAAGGCCCTGCCCTTTCCATCAGCACTGTGCATCTCAGGTTGAGGAGTGGTGAATATCGGTATCCTGGCATTTGTGAGGCAGACCTCATAGACTGTGCCACTGTCCTCAAGAAATGCCGTGACCTTTGACCCAGCCAACGAACTGTCCAAATCTTCTCCATTGAAGTAGTCAGGAAACATAGGGCCACCGTGAGCTAGAATAGGGGTTGGCAAACTATGGCCTATAGGCCATATGTAGGCTGCCACCTGTTTGTGTGAATAAAGCTTTGTTGGCATATAGCCACACCCATTCATTTACATGTTGGCACTGAGTAGTCGTGATGGACTGTAGCCCTTTATAGGAAAAGTTTGCCCACCTCTCAAATAATAACAATAGTTGAATAGTTAATAGGGAACTTTCTGAGGGTACCACACTCAACACTGTACATGAACCATCCCACTGAATCCTCACAGGTACTGCTTTGATATCTGTTTTACAGGTGAGGAAGGTGAGACTGAGGCACAGTTGCTTCCCCAAGACTACAGAGTAGGATGGACCAAGTAACTGGGCACACGCAGACTGAGCAGGGCCTAACCTAACCCCAATTCCCTGTTCCTTGAATAAGCCAGGCTTAACTCATTATAATTGTAATTGCAAATTATGAAAGACAACTACCTTAACATTTGTTTTTTGTTTTGTTTTGCAGCTTCAGTTAATAATTAAGAAAGTTATTGCCCACTTCCATGACTTCTCAGTTCTTTTCTCAGTGGTAAGTAGCATTTTCTTAATTGTCTTTGGAAATTTATATCTGGGTCAGAGATTCTCACGACACCCCACGCCTAGAGAAGTACTCG